GAGTGTCTGGCTATGAACTGGGTACTCACTATACAAGGTATGTTAAAAAGGATAATTCATGTGAAAATTTCTGGCTTGTGGTAGGCATTCTCTCCCTCATAGAACTCAGTGGCTATCCATTGAATTGATTTATGCACACTGAACAGCAGGTAGATTTGGAAAGTAGTAGATGATAAATACTACGTGAAAAATATAACAGAATGGCACTGGGAGAAAGAAAAAAGGGTGAGATTGCTGAGATTTATAATGGTCAGTGAAAGCTTCAAGGAGGAGGTGGAATTTGGGCTTGGAGGGCTGGGATTTGAAGTGGAATGGAGGGGGCTGTTTGAAGTGAAGCGTGAGGTCAAAGCCCATGTGAGTGACAGAATAATTCATAGTCTAGCCTACTGAAAGCAGACTGTTGATATTTAAGGCTAGGGCTAGATTGTGTGTGTGTGTGTGGGCGGGGGGGGGGGTGTCTTTGAAAGCTAGGCAGTAAGGAATTAAGGTTCTTATGGTATGATAGTGTTTTGAACACTCTAGCTGCCCAGAGAGATATAGTCAGGGTTCAGTTATGGTAGTAGTTCTAGTTGGGGGCAAAACAAGGTTGAAATTAATGTGATGCTACCAGGAGATGGATATAAGGTTTTGTGTGTAGAGTGGATAGAACTTGTGACTGGCAATGGGGGCAGAGGGATTGAGAAATAAGGAAGAGTTGACTGACAGTTCCAGTTTGGAAGGCTAAGGGAAAATGGAGTTATGAACTGAAATAGGAATGCTGGGAGAGAGAACCATTTTAAAGGGGGAAGTCATGAATTTGATCTTGTGTATTTGAGACTTCTGAAGTGATGGGATACTTTCATGGAAACATCTAGGAGCTTTTCTGGGCCATGGAACTAGGACTTCTCTCACTGAGGTCACTCATCATCTGTAGTAAGCCCCTATGCATATGGGCCCTCCAGCCTGCCTCTATTTAGTCACAAGTTCCTCTTGTTACATAGATTTTAAACAGGGAAGAAAAGTGACACAATCTGATTGGGCTACATGGACTAGAGAGGGCAAGGCTGGAGGCAGGGTGACTATTGAAGAGATGCAGCAGTACTGTGTGTGATAGAGAATAGTGGCTTGGATTAAGTGGTGGCAGTGGGGATAGAGAAATAAAGGCATGAGATTCATGAGACCTCTCTTGAACAGGTACACGGTAGAAGACATAAAACTTGGGGGTTGGTTAAATAGTGGGAGTACAACCACAGACAACTCCCACATTTCTGGACAGTTGGTTGGATGAAGAACTGGAGGAGAAGCAGGTCTGCCAGGAAGATGTTGGAAGATTAAGCTTTGGACAAATTGTGTTTGATGGCTGCCAAATGGATTTGTTGAATAGCTGGTTTGTCGTAGAGTTTCAGAGCTCAAGAGAAATGCTTGGAATGGAGATGTAGTTCAGCACCACAAGGAAGATTTTGAAGCTTTGAGTGAAGGTGGTTCCCTCAGGGAGAAATGTGAAAGCATTCCACAGGAGGCCTGGAGAATGTCATTGTGAGGTTTGGCAAGAGCACAAGGTAGAAAATCGCTGGAAATGAGTTGGATCATGAAACCCAAGGGAAGTGAGTATTTCAAGGATCTGGTGAAAAATTTTAGAGAGGACCAAATAGGTAAGGACTCAAAAATGGGACAACCTTTGTCCAAGCAGTTATATCAAGAATGATAAAAATAGGATTCAGCATGGAACACTTTATCTAAAATTAATGATGTAATGTATGGGGATTAACATAAGAATAAAAAAAAAGAATGCAAAAAAAAAAAAGATTTTATTTTGCTCAGCATAATACCCTCCAGTTCCATCCACATCGTTTAAAATGGCGACATTGAGGAGGGTATGTGCTATGGTGAGCGCTGTGAATTGTGTAAGACTGTTGAATCACAGACCTGTACCTCTGAAACAAATAATACATTATATGTTTAAAAAAAAAAAGTAGAAGGTAGCAGGAAGGGAAAAATGAAGGGGGGGGAGTCAGAGGGGGAGACGAACCATGAGAGACTATGGACTCTGAGAAACGGGCTGAGGGTTCTAGAGGGGAGAGGGGTGGGGGGATGGGTTAGCCTGGTGATGGGTGTTAAGGGGGGGCACGTACTGAATGGAGCACTGGGTGTTGTACGCAAACGGTGAATCATGGAACACTGCATCAAAAACTAATGATGTAATGTATGGTGATTAACATAACATAATTAAAAAAAAAAAAAGATTTTATTTTATTTAAAAAAAAATAGGAATCAGGTTGCAATGGATTCCAGGATGAATGGGAGTGAAAAATGTGGGAGTATTTTTCTTTTTCCCATATCCTTCCTCCCCTCCACACCTTTTATTCTGGAGGATCAGGAACATGATTCATCACTTGAGAGTGACAGAAGTCAGTAAACACTGATCATCTGCTTAGCTGGTGCTTTGTCTAGGGAAAAGACACTGGCCCTTGCCACTAAAGAGCTTGAGAGGAGAGCAGGGAGGCAAAAAGGTAAAAAAAATTAAATTCTGAGTGCCATGGTGGAGGCCTGTATTCCATGTGAGTGAGACAGCAAAAGAGGGAGGGGGAAGCTCTCCCTGGGGGTGACTCAGGCTGAGCTTGGAAAAAGGAATGTGTGTTTTTGTTGACAAAATCGAGGGCATGCAAAGCCAAGAAATAGGGGATGGAAAATAGTGGAGGTGTGAAATAGCAAGGGCCCTGGAAAGAACTTCAAATGATTTGTTAAAGCCAAAGAGCAGGTTTGATTGGGACATCAGAAAAATTGCCAAGATTGCAACAGGCCTGTGTGCCCTTCAGAGCAGTTTGGCTTCTGTCCTTCAGGTTATAGTCAGCCATTGAAGGTCCAGGGCTTTGTCATGGTCAGCTGTATTTGTAGAGATGACTTTAGCACACCTTAGAGGGTAGTTTGGAAGAGAGTGGGGAGCACACCTGTAATGGTCATTGTACACCTTAGTGGCTTAAAGGATGAGTTGCATCAAGGGGACACACTTAGTGCCTTATGGTCATGTATCCAATTTAAAGAATTTTTGTTATTTGTGTAATGTATGGAGAAAATCTTTCTGATGATTAGCTTCTAGAGAAGTTTCATAAGTATCCTTTTAGAAGATGACTTTACTGTAAGTGTTGGCTGTGTGATTTTGTCATAGAGTTGTGTAGACTAACTGAAAGACTATGTCAAAGATATTCTTTATCCTTATATTATGTTTATACTTATGTTTATATTTACATTTATATATATGTTTATATTTTCTTTGAATAGATGATTGAACCTCAGATTAATGAGCTTTAACTTTGATGCCAATTTTCAGAAAAGTGAATCTGGATGTATATCTCCATCTGTGTCCAACCATTTGTGGGCAAGCATATATACATCACATGTGTGCAAGCATGTGTGTGTGTACATGCACATGTGTGTGTGGATGTGTGTTAAGGGGGACATGACCCTCTTGTCTGGGGCATATATAAGTTTTTCTTCTCCTTTTCTGGGTGTATTTGGTGATGTAAACTAGGATTAAAAACTGGTAAGAAGTGGCCAGTGTATAAATAAATTGGATGATTGTCATTTAGTTATGCTAAAATTTTATCTTCCCAATTCAGTTGGAATAATTTCATTAACAGTGCCTTAAGGAACAGGATATATGGTTGAATTTTCTTTTAGAAAATTGCCTAGTTATATCGGATCCAATTAAATTTTGCGTATGTTATCAGTGGCATTAAATGCAACCAAGTGTGGTGTTAAGTAAAATGAGAAAAATTATTTTAGTAAAAAGGAACTTGTACTTAATATATACTGAGCTAGTAAACATAGCAAATGTAGGTTTTAACAATAGCATCATTTTTACTTAAAACATGAAATGATCACTTTATTTTTAATATTCTTAAATTTCCTCATTGAACTGCCTATAATATTTATTATTTATGTAATAAATTGGGAGGGTTTTTGTTTTTGTTTTTTTGTTTTTTTGTTTTTTTTAGAGAAAGAGTGAGTGAGCAGGAGGGGTGGGGCAGAGGGAGAGGGAGAGAAAGAATCTTAAGTGGACTCCATGCAGAGCTACCCAGGTGCCCTGTGAAATTACTATTTTAAAATTTGTTAGTAAGTTCACAGTAGATAAGTTCAAGTTTTTCACTTTGGAAAATACCAGGAACTAGAAATGAGTATTTCTGTTCAAAGGTGAAAATTTTTTTTCTATAATCAATATTTTAAAAGTCATAAAATCATAAAATCAATAAACACTGCCCTCTTATCACTGGTAATTTTTTATTTAAAATCTATTTGAGGGGCACCTGGGTGGCTCAGTCAGTTAAGCTTCTGACTCTTGATTTCAGCTTAGGTCATGATCTCAGGGTCCTGGGATCTAGCTCTGTGTCAGGCTCTGTGCTCAGTGGGGTTCTCCCTCTCCCTCTGCCCCTCCCTCTGCTTATGCTCTTTCTCTCTCTCTAAAATAAATAAATAAATCTTAAAAAATATAAAATCTATTTGAAAAGTATAATGTTCTTAGAAAGGTTTGGTGGAAATATGAATATTGCTATAAGAATTTTGTGTTCTATCCTGCTTGTCAATAAAAACATTTTAAAAGGTTAAAAAAAAAGCACAACTACCTAGGTTTTCTTAAAAACAAAGGCCAAACTAACAACAAAACATAAGACATACAACCAACAATAGCCCTGGATTTCTGGGGTGCTGTGAGTGTTGGAAAAGAGATTCTAGTCTCCCTGCTGTGGCTAGCTGCCTCCCATGTCCAAGTAGTTTACTGGCCTTGAGCCTTTGTTCCTTAATCTGTAAAATGTGATTGGGATGGAGAGCTTGGGCACTGAAATAGGTTGTTTACAGTTTATTTTTCTTCTGTCTAGTGTCCAAGCGATATGATTCTGTGATTGGTTTTCTAATCTCTGTTGATTTCATTTAATTGGAATTGGCATTTTTTTTTAACATGACATTATCTTAGGATACTAGCTGAGCAGTTATAAACCTAAAATTTTTATTTATGTTTAATATTTTAGGTATGCAATACCCCCGGAACATGGAAAACGACTTGAAAGACTAGCTCAAGGTAAACTTGCTTTCTGTGTTTCTCATCTGGATAGATTCTTTGGCCCCCTGGGCTTGGGATTGCTATTATGGAAGTATTGAGGTGACTGTCCCCAGATAACCAGATAAGCATGAGAGTGTACTCCTTTTTAGACTGCAAATTTAAACATACCTTACTGGAACTTGAATTTTTATTTTTTGTGGCTTTGTCTATCTTCATAAGGGCCCGAATGAAGAACTCTATTAATGGTTTCATTCTGTACCCACTTGTATCTGCAGAAAATGCCTTCCTCTTTTCTTTTTTTTTTTTCCTAAAGATTTTATTTATTTATTTGACAGAGAGAGAGAGTGAGCACAAGCAGGGGGACTGGCAGAGGGAGAGGGAGAAGCAGGCTCCCCACTGAGCAGGAAGCCCAATGCGACGTGGGGCTTAATCCCAGGACCCTGGGATCATGACCTGAGCTGAAGGCAGACGCTTAACCAACTGAGCCTCCCAGGCGTCCCTCTTTTCTGTCTTTAAGACACAGAAGAAAACCTTGCCATATCTGTTTATACAAGGGAGGAGAATCTGATTTACCCCCTGCCAACTTCATCTGTTTTGCTAGCCACCCTTACCAAGGAAGAAGTAGCCTGGTCTGACTTATTTCTAGGGAAGGTGAAGTCGAATTTGAGTGTCAACTAGTGTAAGACATTCTGCTTTTATCCAGGATCAAATCCTCAGTGACCATTGTCCTTTTAGTCAGGTGCTGATCTGTTTTATTGGTGTGTTAGGTTTGTCTTTTAGTAGGAAAAGATTTTTGTTCCTGTCTTACATATGCTTTCATTTAATAATGAAATGGGGACACTGAAAAACCCCTTTCATTGACTTGGCAGTTCTGAACAGAAATTGTTAATGATATCTAAAAGTTACTTCCCCCCAAATTATAGAAGAGTATTAGAAGGAACAGTTACAGTATCACATTTGTCAGGAGCATTATTATAATTTTGGCAGGCTAATAACTATAAAGCCTTAGTGTTTTTATAATGTAATACATTGTAGTAATAATAGCAATGTAATTGTAATCCTAAACTTTGTTAGGGACTATTTTCATGAATATTAAGGTGGATGAACCCTGGTTCTGAAGAATAGATTAGAGCGCAGCTGAGAAAATGATTACCATAATCCTTAAATACACAGGCAGTGAACTTTGTGCTAAATCTGTATGCTGAACTATATTCTTCTCTATAATAAATATTCCACCATTTTCTATTTGCCTCACCACCAGAGACCTGGAACCAATGTAAACTTTACAGTATAGAGTCACACACTAAAGTTTCTGCTATAAATTGTCTGCAAAAGCTTTGACATAAACTGTCAGAAAATGACATTCTAGGAAAATGGGTGCCATTTGTTTAATCAATAAGAGGATAATAAACTTGAAGGATGTACAAGAACTTTGAATCAATTGCACGTTTATTCAAAACTGTTTTGCAGGATTATTTTGAGAAATGACACAGGGAAAAGACCCTAAGAGACAGTAGAGGATTCCCATCCTGACTGAGCAGATGCCAACCAAATTAATTAAATTCTGCTAAATAATTAAAATGATAAAATAATACAGTAAATGTGATGGAACATTTTTGGATGTCTAGGTCAAGGCAGCACTTGACACAAAATGAAAAGCAGCCTAGGATAGTTTCCATTATCTTGTCTGCACATCATAATTATTACACTTGCCTTTTATGCATGAATGCTTTCATCTTTGGTTTCTATTGAAATCTTGATTGACTGTGGCACCTACAAATATTTTATCTCAAAGACATTAAGTCTGCATCTAATAAAGCCAGAGTTTGATTTTGCCCTTCAGCTGCTTTTTCATTTATATAGGGTTTTTTTTCAATATTGTGTAGACCTAAGTGTAATAAAAATAAAACCTCAAGTGAATTGTTGCAATTTTTATACTTGTTATGTTTGCCTATAATGCCATTACATTCTTTCTAATTTTTGGTTTGATACAATTGAATGGAAAGTATAAGGGAGAATAGAGGTATAATATTAAATCACGAATGACAGTTTTGAACATTTTCACTTTTTAGAATGTCTAAATCTTATCTATTTTAGAAATAAGACAATATCTTTGCTGTTCTATTGAGTTAAGCAAAGTATGGATTAAAGTAAATTGGGAATGACTGAAATTTTTTGCAAAGGACTGTATTCCATTAGTCTTTTATTGTGGATAAAATGCCAGCCAATATTAAAATAATTGAAAATGATTTACTGTGGTCAAAATTTTGGTTACTGGGAAAAAATATATGAGTTAGGGCTTTGTGCAGCTGAGTTCGGAAGTGTGAATGATCAGTACGAATCTTGTTTCAGATGGCAGTAAGGGAAGTAAATTCTTATACTTAGCAGGTATTTTATTTTATTTTATTTTATTTTTTGAAAAAATAATGGTGTTTTATTTTTTATTTTATTTTATTTTTTTTATTCTTATGTTAATCCCCATACATTACATCATTAGTTTTAGATGAAGTGTTCCATGATTCATTGTTTGTGCATAACACCCAGTGCTCCATGCAGAATGTGCCCCCCTCAATACCCACCACCAGGCTAACCCATCCTCCCACCCCCGTCCCCTCTAGAACCCTGTTTGTTTTTCAGAGTCCATCGTCTCTCATGGTTCGTCTACCCCTCCGATTTCCCCCGCTTCATTCTTCCCCTCCCGCTACCTTCTTCTTCTTTTTTTTTTCTTAACATATATTGCATTATTTGTTTCAGAGGTACAGATCTGAGATTCAACAGTCTTGCACAATTCACAGCGCATACCAGAACACATACCCTCCCCAGTGACTATCACCCAGTCACCCCATCCCTCCCACCCCACCCCCCACTCCAGCAACCCTCAGTTTGTTTCCTACAATTAAGAATTCCTCATATCAGTGAGGTCATATGATACATGTCTTTCTCTGTTTGACTTATTTCACTCAACATGATACCCTCCAATTCCATCCACGTCGTTGCAAATGGCAAGATCTCATTCCTTTTGATGGCTGCATAATATTCCATTGTATATATATATACCACATCTTCTTTTTTTTTTTTTTTAAAGGTTTTATTTATTTATTTGACAGAGAGAGCGAGAGAGCACAAGCAGGGAGAACAGTAGAGGGAGAGGGAGAAGCAGGCTTCCCGCCAAGCAGGGAGCCCGATGTGGGGCTCAATCCCAGGACCCTGAGATCATGACCTGAGCTGAAGGCAGACGCTTAACCATCTGAGCCACCCAGGCGCCCCTATACCACATCTTCTTTATCCATTCATCTGTCGATGGACATCTTGGCTCTTTCCACAGTTTGGCTATTGTGGACATTGTTACTTAGCAGGTATTTTAGTTGTGACTTATTTTAAAACAACATTCAGGAAGAAGGAACAGAAGAGTCATTATTATGAAGGATTAATTTAGTTTTTTTAAAAATAGTTTTGCGGTGTGTGTGTTTTAATGACTAGTAGTCTTGAGTTTAAACCTGTGGAACGAGAGCCTTAGCCTTATTTGCAGGGATCCCTGTTCCAGGAGGTGGACAAGTAAGTATCTGTGGGTGGGATGCAGGCAGTCTGTGGACTTTCTGAAATTATACTCAAAACTGGTCATATATATGTGTTTCTGGGAAGCCATCTTCAGATCCCTTCAGAGGGTTTGACCTAATTGAGATTGTGAACCTGCTGTCAAGAGACTAGAAGAGCAGCAATAAATAACAAGTCATTTTAATTTTTTTTAAAGATTTTATTTATTTATTAGAGAGAGAGAATGAGAGAGAGAGAGCATGAGAGGGGGGAGGATCAGAGGGAGAAGCAGACTCCCCGCTGAGCAGGGAGCCTGATGCGGGACTCGATCCCAGGACTCCAGGATCATGACCTGAGCCTAAGGCAGTTGCTTAACCAACTGAGCCACCCAGGCGCCCAAGTCATTTTAATTTTATGAACAGATTCTAAATTGACCCGTTCTCATACCTCTGTCTTGGAATTAGGAAAATACGCTTTTATCTGCTGTCTCCTCTCCAAATGATAAATACCTTATTCCCTTAAGCATTCATTTAGCTGATCATCTGAAAATATTATATTAAAATGCCTGGTTGTGAAAGGCTAATAAATAAAAATACCCCTGATTATAAATAATCAATTTTAAGGAGTCCCCTAAGCCATAAAAAATGAAGAAGTTCAGTAATATATTCTCTGCCTTTATGCCTAACTCATGCCTTAGGTGTGGAGAACAATGTGTGGTATGTCAGGGTCTTTCTATCAGCTGAGTTGTATTAAGAATGGTTCAGCAGTCCCTAAGCTTACTTTTCTCATAATTTGATGTCAGATATCGCTGTGTTTAAATATATCTGAATATTTTATGTCTGGTTGTCTTCTAGGATTTTAGACATTGGTCAGTAATACATAGCATATCCAAGCTAATGTAATTCTAATGTGTGAAAGACAATTCTGAGAAGTGACAGCAGAGAATGGGAAGGAAGAATTCAGGAAGGGAATATTGGCTGGCAGGGAGGAATTACTATGGAGGGAAATTAAGAGTACTTTGATTTTTTGGGTGGAAGCTAAGCCAGGAAAATTCTGGATACCTTGACTATGACCTGTTTGAGCCCAAAGTATTTGGCCTAGGGAGTCCTTGATCTATGCCTGTGTGGTCCATGTGTCATATCAAGAGGAGAGAAGTGGGATCTGAAACAAAGTGGTCTTAGGAATGCAATGAAAAACCATATGTAGTGACCCATATACTTGTTAAATTAGGTGGAAATTTTAACTCTAAATGTTCTACCAGCCATCTTGAAATGGAAAAAAACTTGACCATTACACACTAACATAACATAAAAAATAAGTAAATAAACAAACAAATAAATAAAAAACAAATCTGTAACATGTTTAAAAAAAAAAAAGACCACAATCAGTGTGAATTTCTTTCTTACTTTCTTTCTTTTCTTTTTTTTTTTTTTTTTAAAGATTTTATTTATTTATTTGACAGAGAGAGCGAGAGAGCACAAGTA